CCCATTTCCCCATCTGTAAAATAGGAATTCTTTCTCTTACATGTTGAGTGTCTCTTATGGACGAGGCACTGGGCTAGATGTTGGGGCTACAGCAATGTTCCCTGCTTTCAAGGAGCTTATAATCGATACCTGTCCTCAAGGAGTAGCTTTAAGGACTAAATGAGATAACGCAAGTAAAGTGTCTGCTTAGTGTCTGCAACATAGCAAGTGTTTAAATCTCAATATCCTTGAGATCTACAAACACGCAAGTCAAATTCCAAACAAACAGAAAGACCACTTGCAGTAAAACAGTTGCTAGCAGGACCTAAGGCAAAGTCATCAAGAATTTCTGAACAGAAAAGTAACATCAAACAATTAATATGGACCCGTGTTTTAGGATTATTAGGCCAGAAGAGGTTTATAAAAGGGAGTGGAGCCAGGGAGACTAGATTAAACACTGTTAAAATACAAAGTGAGGCCACAAAGTAACAATTTCCTTCTCAGCAGAAGAGGAGCGATAACAAAAGGGGCGGGTTACAGCAGCTCGGAGCGCAGCAGCAAGTCAGGCAACCGTCTGAGGCTGCCACTGTGAAAAGGCACATAAGGTTGTTTCTCATGCACGTGAAAGCGAGCAACTCATCTTTAGAGCAAAGAACATCAGATTTTGATTAAGTTTAATATAATCCACATATGAGACACTCTACCTATTAAAAGAAAGGCTAGCTATTGAATAGTGCCAAAAAAATAACTTCTGATCAGCACAAAAAGTTTTAAGGAGGAAAGGCGGATACCCAGAACAACACTGACGCTGTGGTTTACTTACCCACTGGAATGAGGTAACTGCTGAGGAGAGATGTGGTTTGATGAAAGTTTCAGAGGAGTCCAGGAAAATAAACAGTGGAGACTGTGCTGATCCTTGAAAGGAAACTGGATAAAATCTGCCTGGTTTGGTTTTCTTTTACTTTACTCTTTTTTACAAAAATATACAATGCTTCGCTAATTTGCATAAAATTCCCCTTTGGGGACCATGCTAATCCACTCTCACTCTAGTCTGGGTACATAAGAAGCCAAAGGGAGCAGAAAGTAATGCTTTTTTTGAGGAAAATTTTCAGAATGGTTTGAAAAGAAAATGATAAAAGTACAAAACTCCAAAATACTTCAGATCTAAAAATATGCAATTCAAAATTCTCAGGGAGAAGAATGTTTACTTCACTGCTACCAAAGATCAAAAACACAGAAAACATTCCACAAGATTGGTTACACAGAAATTCTGAGACCCTGGAGAGCTTCTGTACAAAGGAAAGAGTGAAAGGCAAAGCAGACCCTTCCTCTCCTGGAATTAAAGCGTGGTCTGAATCACCTTGGTCTTTCAGGGACCTTCAAGCCTTGAACTTGGTTTAAAGAGGTCCAAGCACCTAGCAAACGCAAACATAAGTCTCCTCCGGAAGACAGCTCCTTCATCCCAGCCCTCAAATTACTCCACAAATATAGTCATGTGTCACACAACGATCTTTCGGTCAATGACAGCCACCTGTACCATGGTGGTCCCATAAGATTAGTACCATACAGCCTAGGTGTGTAGTAGGCTACACACTCTAGGTTTGTGTAAGTACACTCGATGATGTTCACACAACAATGAAATGACCTAACGATGCAATGCTCAGAACGTATCTTTGTCGTCAAGCGGCACATGAGCATACTTTTAACTATAATGAGCAGTACACAGTCAAAGATAACCAACCACACAGGGAAATTAGATTTCATGAGTAATAATCAGCAGAAACGACAATCAGAAACAGGTCCTTAGAAACTTCAGAAACTGAAATACAGACTACAGAAAAACTACGCTTACTATACTTAAAGACGTAAAAGACAAGTTTGAAAATAACTGCAAAGAAAGCTATTGACAAATTGCATAGCAGATTTTTTAAAATAATTAAGTAGAATTTCTGGAAACTAAAAACGTAATAACAAAAGATTTAAAATCAAGGGAAGGTTTAAGAGCAAATCAGACTCAACTGAAAAGAGAATTAGGAACTGGTAGGTCAAAAAAAAATTACTCATAATGCATCACAGAGACAAAAAGACAGAAGAGATAATAAAAGACATAAAGGATAAAATGAGAAGGTTTAACATATCTTAAGCCAGAGTACCAGAAGGAGAGGAGAAGGAGCATGGAGCAAATACAGTATCTGAAAACATTCCCAGTAACAGCAGGGAATTTTCCAGAACTGATGAAAAATACCAAACCACAGTTTCAAGAAGTCCAAAGAAACCCAAGCCAGATAAATAAAAACAAATTCATGGGGCTGGCCCAGTGACACAGCGGTTACGTTCAAGTGCTCTGTGTCGGCGGCCTGGGGTTCTCGGGTTTGGATCCCAGACACGGATATACACATCACTCATCAAGCTATGCTGTGGTGGCGTCTCACAAGCAAAATACAGGAAGATTGGGACAGATGTTAGCTCATCGACAATCTTTCTCACCAAAAAAAAAAATAGCAGTGGCAAGTGGTAATGGTGGAGGTGGTGAGATAGAATGCAAAATTACTTTCAAAGGGCTCTGACCATTTGAATTGATGAACTTCAGTATTTATGTAACTCTCTATACTCTGCTTTATTCCAAAAAGAATTCAAGGCAGCTTATCAAGAGTCATATAACAAAATCCAATAAAATAAATTTAAAATGAGGTAAATAACACAAAGGGGAATAGAAGAGGAAAGTAAGCTGGATGCAGTACTAAGATTCATTCCCAAAATGCATGCTATGAATTCCTATTTGCTTTCTAGAGGGGAACCACAAATTTGGCGTTAAGCGTTTTAGCACCCATACAAAGAGGGAAACATTCAATTACAAGATTTTCAGTAAAAACCAACTAGTCTTTCAAGGAAAACAACAACTCCTAAAGGAGATAATAGTAACGAAATAAAAAACATTTGCAACATCCTCTTACAATAAATAGAGTAACACATTTTACAGGACCAAAGTGTAATTCAGCAAATGCAACTTTATAGGCAAGACCAAGGAATATCACTATGATGTATTCCAGAGGTGGGGCTCAATGTGGGGGGAAGTTCCTAAGGGAAGGGATGGCCTGCAGATGCTTCAGAAAATCTTTAATACGTATTTGTCGCAGTCAAGCTTCTGAAAGTAGGGGCTTTAAGAGCCTTCCTGACTAGTACCTGAGTGCACCTGTTCTGTGTGGGTAACTGGGTACAGGACCATATACTAAGCTATCCACTAAGCCAGGGGCTGGATAATAGGCTCTTGTGAAAAACCGAGGAGTCAGACTTCATTCCATCTCAACTCATAGGATTCAGGTCCAGAATGTCCCATAACCAGTCTTGTTACTCAACAAAGCAGATGAAATGGCTCTACATTCTAGAAGTGGCATCAATTGAAAAGAAATGAGATTTAACCGGCAGTCACAGCAAAAGAAAAATCAGGACTTGGTACAACTGATTAGGTTGCAGAAAGGAATCAAAGGCACCTACAAAGTTTTGAATGAGGGAGAATAGCAGTACTATTAACAGAAAAATTGGGCAGACACGTTTTGGAGGAAAGAGAATAGCTCAGTTTCAGGCAAAATGTCTAAGTCTGAACACCTGAGTGGAAGGGGCCGGCCCCGTGGCTTAGCGGTTAAGTGCGCGTGCTCTGCTACTGGCGGCCCAGGCTCGGATCCCAGGCGCGCACTGACGCACGGCTTGTCCGGCCATGCTGAGGCAGCGTCCCACATACAGCAACTAGAAGGATGTGCAACTATGACATGCAACTATCTACTGGGGCTTTGGGGACAAAAAAGGGAAAAAAAGGAGGAGGATTGGCAATAGATGTTAGCTTAGGGCTGGTCTTCCTCAGCAAAAAGAGGAGGATTGGCATGGATGTTAGCTCAGGGCTGACCTTCACAACAACAACAATAACAAAAAAGAATACCTGAGTGGAAATGTCTAGAAGACATTTTCTAGAAATGCAGGACTAAAGCTCAGGAAAGGGGTTAGGGATAGAGCTAAAAATCTAGAAATCTCACCATGGAGATAACGACTGAAGTCACTGAGTAGTTCTAATTCCCAAACTCAAACCACTGCCCTAATGCAAACAAAAGAACTGGCTCCCGCCACAAGATACGCCACCTGAAAGAGGCACACGACCACCACACAAAACGCAGGCTGCATTCCAAAGCGATCCAGCGCACAGTGTGGGCATCCAACACAGCCACATAGAGTCTGACTCAGAAAGATGAATGCATAGACCTACACTCCACCACTAGAGAGCAGAAGAGAATGAAACTAGATGGCTTACACAAAGAATGATACAAATTCTCTACAAAGTAAACTATCCACTCTCCATGTTATATTTAAGAACACACAGGTACATTCTGTTTACAGGACTGGAATTTCCTAAGAATTATTAAGTTAGGTACATGGGGATTTATTAGATACGTCTGAAATTTTCCATGATGAAAGAGTTTTTTAACTTTTTTTTTTTTCCCCACTGAAGAAGACTCACCTGAGCTAACATCCGCTGCCAATCTTCCTCTTTTTTCACTTGAGGAAAATTAGCCCTGAGCTAACATCTGTGCCAATCTTCCTCTATTTTGTATGTGGGTCACCACCACAGCACCACTGACGAGTGGTGTCAGTCTGCATCCTGGATCCGAACCCACAAACCTGGGCCACCTAAGCAGAACATGCTGGACTTAATCACTAGGCCATAGGGCTGGCCCCTGAGATTTTTTTTAACTTTAAAACAATTTCCTAAGACTTATCAGGAGTGAAGACATAACTTTGTGTCTTCAAGCAGCTGACGTCGATCTTCGTGTCATAGAAGAGGCACAAAGGACATGGCAGTTTCTTCCTCCAAAGAAAGACGTGATCAAGGATACCCAAAAGGATTCCTAACTTCTAGAGGAAGAGGCAAGAGTATAAGAGATGCAGTCTTCAGATACACAGTTGGACAGAAGTAAAATATGGGGACTATGGTAGCGTAACAATCAATTGATGAAAAGTAAAAAATAACTTACTCTTTTCAATGAGCTGGTCTTGAACTCCTGCCAATGCACTTACTGCCTAAAAGAAAAAAACCACCAGTTACTAGAAAAATTATCACAGACCTCAGGGGAGCACTCACAGGCAGAAAGGAGAGAGAAAACTCAAAGAAATTTAACTGAGGTCTTCCTCAACAATGGCCACAGAAAGACCCCCCACCTCACTTACAGCTGCTGAAGTCACTGAGGATTTACTGAAGAGTCTCTCAGCCTCCTTAAACTTCCGGTTCCTTCGATCGTTTTTGCTATTGGAGTTTCTAAAACACACACAAGAAACTCATTATAAGCACCAAGCTATGTTTATGGCTCAAGCCGAAGATGTCCCAGGGCAAATGTAAGGAACTCTTTTTTTTTTTTCTTTTAATTACCAAGCTCCATACAGAAATGCCTCCATACCACTTGGATTGACCAAAACAACCTTTACACTGAATGCCTATGTAGAAAGCAATGTTTTCCAGAGTATGGTATGTGCTCCACTGTGGTACATGTGATTACTTTAAGTGGTTCACAATCATTTTCATTTTCATTTTATTAAATTGTATTTATTTTAATTGTACTTATTTTAATGCTTATTACTAAAAACCACTAGCACAGACTAGCGATAGGAAGTGTCTCTGTTAAAATTTAAAGAAAGAACTAGGGTTCCTTAGAGAAATGGCTGATATCAGTTCTGGGACAAGAAAAGGACAAGGTGACAGAGAGCAACAAAGTGCTCAGACTACTGGGTCACGTACAAAGGACAAAGCCCGAGGAGGCTCCCCTGGCCACGTATGGAACAAACTAAGCATCAAAAAGGATAACAATGGGTGTGTCTGCTTTGTAAAAAGTCTCTGAACTGCTTATTTATGATTTGTGCACTTCTCTGAACAGTCACGCACCACATAATGTTTTGGTCAACAACAGACGGCATATACGACGGTGGTCCCATAAGATTAGTACCATACAGCCCAGGTGTGTAGTAGGCTGTACCACCTAGGTCTGTGTAAGTATACTCTATGATGTTCACACAACGACGAAATTGCCTAACGACACATTTCTCAGAAGTTATCCCTGTTGTTAAGTGACACATGACTGTATACATTTCAAGAAATGTATTTATACTAAAAAATAACATAAACCTCTACAATAAAAAAGTGACAGCACTACATCCTAACACACTGATTTTTTAAAAAATCCATGAGGGCCGGCCCCCTGGCTTAGCGGTTAAGTGCTCGCACTCCGCTGCTAGCGGCCCTGGTTCGGATCCCGGGCGCGCACCGACGCACCGCTTCTCCGGCCATGCTGACGCCGCGTCCCACATACAGCAACTAGAAGGATGTGCAGCTATGACATACAACTATCTACTGGGGCTTTGGGGGGGAAAAAAAAAAATCCATGAGTCTATAGTGATACTAAAGGAAGACAGAGAATGAAAGGGAGAGAAGATAAAAAGGGAAGATTCTTCTTCCAGAATGCCAGTAATAAACGTAAAAGGAATAGTAAAATTAGAATCACTATTTTGCAACCTCCAGTATAATAAGCGATTCAGATAAGAATCAACAATAGATACTAAAACCAGTGATAAAAATTTGGGGGGAGCAATATATTCACACTGTCTAAAAGTATAACCTCCAAAACTACTTTTTAATTACGAAGAGAAAAAATGAACTTTTATAATGGAGAAATCATATGATCAAACTTAGAAGCACCAATAATGGGACAATCTGACATCTTGCACCTCCGGAGAAAACAGAGGTAAACAACAAGAAGTACACAAATCACTAATGTGACATTTTTGCCAAAAATTTAAACAGGATCTCTTATGAGGTCACAATAAGAAAAAATCAGGGGGCCGGCCCAGTGGTGTTGTGGTTAAGTTTGCATGCTCCACTTCAGCGGCCTGGGGTTTGTGGGTTCGGATCCCTGGCTCAGACCTACACACCACTCATCAAGCCATGCTGTGGTGGCGTCCCACATACAAAATAGAGGAAGCCTGGCACAGATGTTAGCTCAGGGACAATCTTCCTCATAAAAAAAAAAAAGAAGAAAAAATCAGGAACTGGAACATTCCACAAGACAACCTCATAAACAACTTCACCACCAAAAAAGTGGGAGACTCTCCAAAATTAAGAAACTAAAGAGACGTAACAGCAAAATGCAATGCACGGATGCTACGTGGATCAAAACAAGGTAGCAAAGCATTTTGGGGACAATTAGGGAAATCTGAATAAAGACTGTGTATTAGATGATGCTATTAATTTAGTGATAATTTTCTAAGCATGATAACTGTGGTTAGGTAAGAAAAATGTTCTTATTCTTAGGAGGTAATAGCTGACATAATCAGGGGCAAAGTGTTATGATATACCTGCTTTTAACCTTTAAATGGTTTAGCAAAAAAAAAAAGTAGGGGGAGGGCCGGCCTCGTGGCTTAGCGGTTAAGTGCGCGCACTCTGCTACTGGCGGCCCAGGTTCGGATCCCGGGCGCGCACCGACGCACCGCTTCTCCAGCCATGCGGAGGCCACATCCCACATACAGCACCTAGAAGGATGTGCAACTATGACGTACAACTATCTACTGGGGCTTTGGGGGGGAAAAAAAAAAAGTATGGGGAAAGGGGTGATATAACCACAAAGGGGCAGCCTGAGGGAGATCCTTGTGGTGATGGAACAATTCTGTATCTTGATTGCAGAGGTGGTTACAGGCATCTACACACATGATAAAATGACAGAACTACATATACACATTGTATCGATGTCAATTTCCTGGTTTTGATAGTGCACTAGAGTTACATAAAACCCAACCATTGGGGAAAACTGGGTGAAGGGTACATGAGACCTCGCTGTACTGTTTTTGCAACTTCCTACGTATCTATAATTATTTCAAAATTTTTTTAACAAGTTAAGTATAGATAGATGTGTGTGTTTACATATATTATAGAGAGAGGAAGAGAAAAGAAAGAGAGAAAGCAAATGTGGCAACAAGTTAACAAGTGGTGAATGCTGGTGAAGGGTAACAAGTGTTCATGCCCTATGCTTTCAATTTTTCCATAGATTTGAAAAATTTCAAAAAGTTCAGACAGTTTTCAAAAATAATATTACTAAATAAATAGTGGTACAGTTGGCACACAGGTATGGCAAATATCGTGAGGGCGGAGCTCATGACTGATTAAAATGTGGAAAATACTAACAAGAGAGCTGCTGTGTAAAGTATTATACGCTGTACTTCATTTAAGCCTCACACAACCCTGTGCCATAGGCTGGACTTTCTACTTTAGTGATGTAGGATTTGTCCAGAATTACTCAGTGAAGCAATGGCTGAGCCAGAGTCCAAGTTCAAGCCCAGATCTCTTTCCCCACCACCACTTTATTACTGCCTCCCTGCAAACTTGCTACCAAGAATACATATATCCTTAAAAACAAATACTACTAGGGTACAACACAAACACTGCAGGCTTCTGACACTCACTTTTGGTTGGTCAGATACCGATCCCAGCCACGAATAATGTTGCCATACATCTGAGTGTCCTCCAGGTAGCTCCCTTCAAACGCATAGATCTGTCTCTCCAAGTTTGCCAGTGTTTCCTGAGAGATGAAAAACAAGGAAAATGGATAATGCCTTTGAAATGCAAACGTTAAGTCTGATCAAACTGAAAACTCAAGCTCAACTACACTAAACCACCCTGGTAGAAAGACGGGTCGGGCTGGCCCCGTGGCTTAGCAGTTAAGTGCACGCACTCCGGTGCCGGCGGCCGGGGTTCAGATCCCGGGTGTGCACCAACACACTGCTTCTCTGGCCATGCTGAGGCCGCGTCCCACATACAGCAACTAGAAGGATGTGCAGCTATGACATACAACTATCTACTGGGGCTTTGGG